AATGCGATTGTAATCATCGTTATCTCATGGTCATTAATTTGGGAGGAGCCTTGATTAGATCTGCAAGGCAATCGGCTACGCCGTTTCTTGGAATTAGCAAAAAAATGTAACAAATTTCACAAAAAAATTTAAGCCGATTTTGATGATCAATTTTACTTTGATTCAAACTGTATTATAACTGGATTCGAAATTGAGTTTAAGTAGATTCTAACTAGATCCTAACTCAATTTCAACTTGATCTTGGCTTGGTTCTATTTTTATTCCGATTTGATTACAATCTACTACAATCAAAACAAGTTACTGACTATAACCTTACTGAAATGTTACTAAAATTTTCTCTCTTTAAGTGAATTCTATGTAGATTCCAACTATTATATTACGGCTTGACTGACTATAATCTTACTGAAATTTTACTAAAATTTTCTAACTTTAAGTGAATTCTATGTAGATTCCAACTATTATATTCCGACTTGATTTTTAACTTGATCCTGGCTTGATTACAACTAAAATCTTACTTCTATATTACTGAAATATTACTAAAATCTTTCTAAAATTTTACTAGAATTTTGCTAAAATTAATAATTTGTTGACGATAAAAGTTGATACTTTGTTCAGTAAGCTCAAAAGCACATAAAGTAGAATAATTGTCTAGTTAATTAAATTTTATAACGAGTTTTAAGTTTTTTATATTTACCAAACATATTTTTTATTCGAGAAATTTAATATGAGATAATAAATATCTATAAACGATGATTATTTTTCAGAATTAGACTTGTTCCATAGAAAATATTGGAATTTATTTGCTCAACTAATTTGTTTCAAATTAGCACCATTAAAAGTAATAAGCAAATCATATGAGCTTGAATAATATTTTACTCATAAACATTATATGCACATATTCGTGTATGAAGTGCGTATATTTGTACAAAGCCTATATATATATATATATATATATATATATATATATATATATTATTATATATATATATATATTGCGTATTTTGGACATTTGCCAATCTCTGAAAATTTATTAAAAATTATAATTACATATTAATATTATAAATAATATTTTTAAATAATCTTTATTGACTGGATTTGTTCACATAGTCTACAAACTTACAAGTTAACAATAAATGATATTTAGGTTTCATATCAGTCTTACCAATAAATATTTTTTAAGTGCTCATCAACATAAAGATCATATGTATCAGCTCTTTATGCAAAAATATATTAATGTTTAAAACTAATTGATTTTAAAAAATAGTAGAGTAATAAAGAAAATCAGTGGTAATCAGAAGGCTAATAATCAATTAAAAATAATTCTTCTTCAAATATATTATAAATATTAAAATAATAAATTATTAGAATCGATCATAAAATAGGCATTAATGCAATCTTTGATTAGCTCATTTTTTTTGAAATAGCTATAATAAAATAGTGAGTCAAATTCAAATTTTATAACATTTTTACAAATACACAGGTTTATAAAAATATTTTCAAATTTTGACGATAATATACATGCTTTTTATTGGATTTCGATTTTCTAATCTTTGCATGTTCCTTAATTTTCTTTCATATCATCATAGATTTCATTCATTACTCTAAGCATTCTCAAACTTTTAAAAAACCATTTATTAATCACAATCCATCGGTCGCATCGTGTATAACTTGCAGTTTGTCTAAAAGATCTTCGTTGGATTGAAAGATTTGACTTTTTCCTGAGCCATCGTCATTTTGACTGGATTCGTTAGTCTCATTTAGATTTTCATATGATTCCGTATTATCATCTACTTCCATTTTTTCTTCCGATTCTTGGTCATCTTTTACCTCTTCAGCCCTAGTTAGGGTCACGCTCGCCCCTTCTGGAAGGAGTGCGCCAATGTTTCGGGGTCTTGGGGAATCGTCCCTGCGTGCACGGGAGCTATTCCAGTCACCACGTGGCCGCTGATGTTGGCCTGGACAGGGATTGGTATGTCGCCTAAATCGATGTGCGTGCCATTTCCGCGTGCGTTGTAAAATGTCAGGTCTACTTTCTCCTGGCTGCAAATTAAACCAGAAAATTTAATTAAATTTAATTTATACATAAACTAGCTGTAAGTGGAATTCTGCCTTAAGGCAGTTAAGGCATCGTGCCTTAAGGCAAATTGCTAGAACTTCCCGTACCGCAATTCAAAATTCGAGTAAATAAAAATAATCAATAATAATCAATAAAAGTTGATCAATGATTTGAAACATTTAATAAAATTTCGAACCATATTAAATCATTCTATCTCAAATCATTTATTTTGAAATATTTTTGAAATTCTGAACTTTTTTTTCAAAGCAATCGTACTGCTTCAACTGCATAGAGACAAAATGTCAAAGCGCGTAAGCGCCGCGTCGCCGTCTACCAGAAAAACATTGGTGAGGAACCCATAGGAATGTAAACAAAATGTATACTTATTGTTGAAATCTCTATAAAATATCTGGTAATTTGATGTGCATATGTCTAATGATCATTTTTGACCGCCAAATGTCATTTTTTTTACTTTCTTCATTAGATCTCTGAAACTGCTAGGCCTGCCTTCATGAAAATTTGATCAATTCTTCATCTTGTCAATACAAGTAAAATGTTTTTTGAATTAATCAAATCGGACGCTCCGTTCTCTTAAAAACTGAGTTACCGTTTTTGGCACTTTTTGCCCCATATCTTTGGAACGGCTAGACCTGACTTCACCAAAAATCAATCAGCACGTCTCCTTATCAATACGAATCGAATGTTTTTTGAATTATTCAAATCGCTTCATCCGTGTTCCCGAAATCGTCGACAAAAATTTGTATCCGCACACACACACATACACGCACATACACACACACATACACACACACACACACAAATACATCCATTTTTTCTAAGGTATGCCAAAATGTTCAGAAACCTCTGAAACGTAAAGATATATAAAAATTTTCATTTTCGATTTTTTTGCGATTACTATAACTTGCCCTACGGGAAGTTACTTATAGCGTTAAAAGGTAACAAAATACAGTTCTTAAAATTTATATTAGTCCAGTCATTTAAGCTTAAATTAGGTAAGAATCTCGGAATTCGAGATACCCAGCTGTAAGTCTGTAAATACTTGTATATTGACACCCTAAAGTTGTCTCAAAACCTACATATGGTAAGGTGTACGCAATATATGTAGGTTTGAGACAACTTTTGGGTGTCAATTACAAGTATTTACAGACTTACAGCTGGGTATCTCGAATTCCGAGGTGAACTTACTATAATGACTGGACTTTATCTTAATCGAATATTTATGATGGGTTTTAGAAGAGAATTTAAATTTGTAAAATTCAGTATATTATAGTTAATCTGAAATGAAAATGATAACGATTATTCAATTATAATAATAATCATCGGCTAAACTAGATTTTTTTAGAACAATTATGGATTCAAGTTTACTTATGACTAATGAGTAGGTTAGCCAATTATTTTGACTCTTGATAAATTTAATATAACAAATTGTTCTGCCAACAAGTAGCTAATGTGATCGTCGTGTTTTGCTATAGAATTCTTTTGCATATCTACTCTTTTTATTTTGACAATTTACAACATATTTTTTAGTTACAATATGTCACACTTAGGACATTCAGTAATTGTTTTGACTTTTTATTATATGGATCTTGAATGGATGGCAACCCAGTAGTTGTCCAATCCAAGAGGCGATTTTTAATTAAGACTATATTTGAGATCTCAAACCTCAAGCGAAATTTGACATCAAAGTTGCCTGATATCGGATTTACAACAACATGAACAATAATTCATTAATATGTACCCTATAAAATTAAAATTTTATAAGAACTATATATTGATTTATTTATTTACGTGTAAGTCCCGCTTTCCGTGGAGTTGTCATCATCATCCGAGTCAGCCAAAACTGCTACTTCATAAACTATTGTTTTAATCACATACCTACAAAACAGTGATTGATTTTAATTTATTGTTTTTATTTAAATATTTATTTAGTTTGCAAATTATGAAGCAGTAAGTTCAATGAATTATTATTCATCAAACTTCATAAATCAATTCAATGCTAAAAAATGCTACCATTTAAGAAGACATTTACAGTTCCATGAAATTTATTAAGTATATTTGCAAATTTATAAATAATAATTGCTCGTAAATAATTTTAGCTGATAAAGTACATACTGATGCATCTAACCAAGTCCTTCGTTTTACTAAAATTTTAATATAAATTTTGAATCAGAACGTTATTTTTTATCTAAATTTCAGATCGATCTCTCAATAAGGTGGACCCAGTTGATTCATGGTTCTGCAGTTCATTAATTTATTCACAATCATTTGGCTTCATTATTATAAATATTTCACATTTTTTTAATAAATCCAGTATTGTAATCCAAAACTTACAAATCTTTTTTGGTTCCATTTATGTTATTAACTTCTACGATTTGGGTACTATTTTCCTCAGCATCGTCGTTGAAATATCCCGATAGATCAAAAGGCGCAGATCGGGAAAATGGCATCAAAAGTAATACACATATAAAATTGAACAGAATCATTTCGTGTAATTCACTATAATTATAATTTCGGCACAATATTAAAATATTTAAGCATTCGAAAAATAACGAACAAAAATTAAGTTTCTCGCGCTGTTGATTTGTATCTGTCAGAACTGAAGTGATATGTTAACTAAGATCGTGCTCGGGTTATATATTGGAAACCTTGAATATTGTGATTTCTCACTTACTAATTAATGGTTCACAGTTTTCACACGATATTGCAAATTAATCTTCTACGCTTTGCAATGACATTATAATAAATTCTTTTCCAAATATTTTACATTCAGACGCCGTCGTACTTTAGATGATCAAAATTTATCATCTTGTTTTTGATATTGCCTAAAGTTATTTTGCCTTAAGGCAACTTAACCAATCCAAATTGAGATGTTATTTGAATAAAAAGTTAATTCTTTAGTATCTGTATCAGATTAGTATAGAGTTTGAATCACGTTAGATTTATGTCGGAATGAAGTTATAATCTACTTAGATTTAAACCAGTCCCTGTTCGAATCAAGTTAGAATCCTGTTAGGATCAAATCGGAATCTTATTACACCAAATTAGATTCTAGTCGGAATCAGTTCAGAACCTAGTTAGAATATGCTTAGAACCAAGTTCGAATCTAATTAGAAACAAGGTGAAATCAATTTGATTCAAGTTAAAATTTTCCAAATCGTATTACAGATTTTTTACACAACTAGAGAAGTTTTATAGACTACTCCTTAGGTTAGTTAATAACCAAATTATATTTGAAATTGTCATCTGAAAAAGCAAATGCAAATATTCAAAAGAATATTCAAAATATTTATATTTATACTTAGATATATTTTTTACCCTATAGTTCTATTCACATTATTAATATCATAATGATATCAAAGATCTAAAAAAATATAAATGGTCAAAGTTTGCACATTTTTTTATATGCTCCAAAATTACAAATTTAAAAAATAATTTATTTATTATGAATATGAGAAGCTCCAACAACTAACTTTAAACCAAAATGAGGCAATTATAATTATAATATAATTATATAACTATAGTAATCCTCGTTTTAAGTATACTATAGGAGAAAGTCAATAGTAACCAAATTTAATATGAAAATTCAATTTTACACGGCAACAAGGCCGAGCCATACATTTTGTTTTACAAATATCTGAACTGACAACAAGTGAAACCTTCCGAAATAAGTTAATTTGTCTTAATTTGTTATTTGTTTCGCAATAAACACGAACTTTGAAACTATATTACGGAACAAATCAATAAGATTTGTAGCGAATCTAATCTTCGTTTAATTTGATACCCTCATCAATAAATAAAGACCAGTAATTGATAAAAAAAATAAATATCAATTAGCATCAGGTCCAATCGAATTTTTAAAAGAAACATTATTGCGATACTTGTTCAGAAGTAATAGCAAATATTATCAAAAATTTGGATTTGTTTTTATTTTAGATAAAGGTGCGCTTGAAATATCCAGATTGTTTATATTATTTTCTTTAAACTTTTGGTTTATTTGCGCCCACAAAAATTTGTTTTGGTTACATTTGTTGCTTATATATATATAAATATATATATATATATATATATATATAATATTTAATTGTATATATTAATATATTTTCATATGTTTCTACATGATTCATGGTCGCTTAATTTGCTCATAATTAGTTCTTTCAATAGCGCTAATTTGAAAAATATGAGCTTGAGCATTGATTCTAAAATATGGTATAAAATAATTATAATAGGAAATATTTATATATATTTATACAATGAAGATATATTTTTATATATTTTAATTGTAGTTAAAGTAACTTCAGCAATGTTGTCTTAAGACATTGATAATTATCAATTGCCCCACGGGGTTTATTAGCTAATTATTAAATTATTATAAACTGTTACAAAAAACAAATTACATTTTTTTGTTTCCTATCTGCTATTTTACCTTAGATTAATCAACAATATAGAATTATAAAAATATATTTTAGTGATTTGTATAATTATTATAGATAATTATAATATATTTTATTAATTTATTATATATATTTATATATATTATGATATTATTTTTTTCGGACAATAAACCACCTATTATCAAAAAATTATTTATTTAATATTTTTGTTTTAAATATTTTCTGAATATGGGATGTCTCCTTCTTTGGGATTTTTCAATGAATGGAGACTCGACTATATCCGGAACGAATAGATTTTAAAATAAACTTTTGAGAAAATCATGATTTAATTGATGTTAAGTGCATATTTAGACTAGATACTTTGTAATATTTTACAAATCTACAGAAATGCAATTAAGTATATTTATTTTCTTAAAACACACTTTTATTTACGCCCGGCATAGTCATTTCCAACTAAACTAAAATTGCATTTACAACATTTAACGATGGTACCATCTAACCATTTGTATTTTTACTTATACTACGTTTATGTATGTATATACGTGTGTATGTATATACATATTTATATATTTTGCCATGTGCACTATACTAACAATTTTATTTATATTATTTTTTAAAGCACATGAAGGACTGTTATCCGCGAAAAGTTTATGTATGGTATTGATAAAGCCATAATTTGAGAATTGGGATAAAACTCTATAAAATATATAATAAATTATGGAAATACAAATTTTGAATGAAGTAATTGTAAAATATATATAATACTATAATTTAAGGCACTTCTATATATTATATATGTATTTTTTCATCAATTGACTTCTTCTAAACGCATAGGCCGGTTTAATGGAGTTCTTCGTGTGAGGATAAAGTTGAAATGCTAAAAATAATCCCTGTATTTATTATTCTTGAAAATTGAAACTAACAATGTGGAGTTCATATGCAGAGATATATTTATACCAAAAATATATTTTGTTTCAGGGAAGATAATAAGACGATCAGACCCATATATCTACGAACAGACAATATGAATATATTATGTTCTGTTCTAATATTGTCAAAGGATCAGACTTTATTTTGAAATATGAATGATAGACTTGCCCTAAAATTCAATGTACATTTTTGGATAATGTCATTATTTGAATTTTTTTGTGATCCATATTGAGATATATTGATGATAATTCACTAATAACAGCAAATAAGCCTTTATAATTATTATTGAAGTTATTGTTAAATTTATGGAAACCGTCATATTTGGTTGTAATTATCGTCATAAAAATATCGTACTTTTATAAATGAAATTATTTTCATATTTTGCTAATGATATCTGCCCAAAGTAGTTTATCTAGTGCAGGTGCCATTTATATTGTCTAGGGCAGGTGCTGTACGTGCCGTTAAATACAGACCCTCTCATGCTTTATAAATAAATAATAATTTACAAAAAATCAGTATATTATACATTATAAAATTAATATATTAACCAGTACTAATACTTCATAGGAATTTTCGAATGATCTTTTACTTAATGATCAGAATATAAAATATATTCATGCCCAAGAAGAGCAGCAAAACATATTGCTTGGCTGTATGTTGAAGTTAATCACAGATTTTTGATATTTAAGTAATACATAAAATACATAAAATATAAAAATAAAATAAATTTATTATAACTTTGTAGTAATATAATAAGATATACTTTTACATATGCATGCATATTATTTTATTATTATTATTAATTTTTTATGAATTTGACAATATTATTAACTGTGCATAATTATGCATATTACACTCATCAAATTGACTATTTATACAAAATGTACATGCATTAAAATATTTATAAATATAACTAATTTTAATAATATTAACAGCAATTTCTAAGTTTCTAAAATTTTAATATTTTCTAATTTTTAAATATTTTTGAAAATGATTATAATCCACCCCTATTCTTTCTCCTTTTTCCCGTTTACAAATGTATATAGTTATCTCTTTCCTCAAGTAGACTCGTCCGGGCGTTGGCGCTCATATAAAGAAACGTCCATCTTGTTTTACTTTATTCTGTGAATTCGTTTTCGAAGCATCATAACTTGCTTAGCAAACGATTTGCAATCTGGTCATATTTTTAATTTATTAACTAGTCGTTAGTGTTTGTGACGTTTTCAATACATAATTCAAAATGGTAAGTAAAATATTTGATTAAATTTAATTAGGTTTTGTTTTGTTAAAAGTAAGTAGAAAGGTTTGAGCGGCCGGCATTTTTAAACTTATCAAACGTTGGTATTTATTGTTGAAAAAATAATTATTTGCAGATATGAATTGTTAAAATGGTTTTTTGAGGTATTTATATTTATGCTTTTCGAAATTTCTCTTACTTTGAGAAATGCCGCAGTGTCACGCAACTGCATGGTACCGATAGGGGCCATATCATATTGATTTTGTTGTCTGCGGCATATTTTTTCGGTTTCTAGGGTGATACAGTTAATAGAATGTCGATATCCAATTATCATTATCGATTATTTTTTAAATCTTACATTTCATATTATAACCTACCATTTTACTGAACTTTCTAGCAGCCATGTAAGCATTATTAATTTTCACAGATTCTACTTACAATACTGTGCCTTTCAAGTTATAATCCCGAATTTGTCTTCTGTTTTTTGATTAATTGCATTTTTCACTTCAGCGTGAATGTATCTCAATCCATGTTGGCCAAGCTGGTGTCCAAATTGGAAATGCCTGCTGGGAGTTGTACTGTTTGGAGCATGGAATTCAGCCCGATGGCCAAATGCCATCTGATAAAACCATTGGGGGTGGTGATGACTCTTTCAACACCTTCTTCAGTGAGACAGGAGCTGGAAAACATGTGCCACGAGCCGTCTTTGTTGATTTGGAACCAACTGTTGTAGGTTAGTTGAAGTTACCAGCATTATATATTAAAAGTCAATAAAACACTTTGTATGTTTTATATATTTATAATACAATAAAATTATTACTTGAACTGCAACAAAATTAATAGATTTTTTCCTTATCTAGATGAAGTGCGCACTGGAACATACCGTCAATTATTCCACCCAGAACAACTGATTACTGGCAAGGAAGATGCTGCCAACAATTATGCTCGTGGTCACTACACAATTGGCAAAGAAATCGTTGATGTTGTATTGGACAGAATTCGAAAATTAGCTGATCAATGCACTGG